TACGACCAGTAAAAATATGTGTATGCGTGCTGGAAAGGTCCAACTGCAAGATACGCACCTGATTTCGTGATGACTTAATGCAAGTGATTTGCGTGTATATGTAGGTGTTTGTGTGGTGGATCTACGGGAACCAGGTCAAATAACAGGAAGTACTTTACTGAAAAGAGTTGCACGGCCACAGAGATGCCCGAACGGGCTATCAAATAAATTGCAATAATAATAGTCATTTATCATAATAATAGTTTAACAAACGGATATTAGGTACTGCAGAAAATCATTAAGACTGTTTGGAAAATAATCAAACACATGTTAGTGATATTACTGGGATGCTCTCAAACACTGCGCTCAATTTTAATGACAAGCCCTCAGGTGTTATTTCTTTTTTTCACAATCGTACAATGATTTATCTGAAGTATGATTCCCGCCCAATGCTAAATTACTGTGCCAAATGCTGAATTATTACCAATGCGAAATTATTATTATTCTAATGCTAAATTACTATTTCCAATACTAAATTAATGATTATCACCTTTACTGTTACTACCAATGCTGACTACTATCATGATAAATCATCATTATCATTATTACTATTATTGTCGTTATCATTGTTATTATTGTCATTACCTCATTACCGTTATCATCATTATTATTATCATTATTATTATTATTGATGTTATCATTATCACCATTACTATTGTTATTATTATTACCATTATTATGATGATAAACTATCAGTGCTATTATTACTGGCACACGCCCAATGAACTTTTGCAATCAGCGCCGTAAAAAGGCTACGCCAATTCTGAGGGAGGAGAAAGTACAATGGGAATCCAAAGATTTACAAAATGGACGGGAATGTTCATAAATTTCAAAATTCTCTTCCCGAAGACGCTTGACGCAGCTGCGCCCGGTACGTAGGAGCATCCCAGTAACATCAATAACACGAAATCCCCACGTCAACCGCCCGGTTAATCCTGGCATTTTTAGCTTTTTCGTAATAAATAAAAGACACAGATGCATGCAATGGTGGTAATCCATCAATAATGCGAATTTTTTTTTTTTGAATTTATTGAAAAGAAAAAAAAGCGTGAAGTGTAACCCGAATTGTGGTGGTGGCACAGGTGGCAAACAGTCCGACTCTCTTCCATAGATTCTTCGTACGCTTCCTTGCATTTACCTACAATTAGCGAAAAAAAAAAAAAAAACTTAAAAAGCTTGGACATCGCCAATAACATTTCCAGCACACCAGTACGTAAATTTTTAAAAACATGGACATTGTCAATAGTGTCTCGAAAACACTACTGTATTTATTATTACATTAGCAGCAAAAAGTGAAATGCAGGAAAAATATCCATAAAAGACTGAAAATTCCGGAACGATGGATGGGGAAAAAAGCAACAATACTGCTTATTTGAAAATATTAAAGTCTAGAAAATAAGCAGAAAAATAAAAGATTAATTGCTGTCTTAGTTGAAATAAAGACAAGCTACATTCGTCTTAACTGAGCACCACAACTGGATCTCATCAGTACAACAATTTCTGTTAAA